GTAGACACATAATGAATTTAATTTATAATTAATAAAGTAACAAATGAGTTTTATGGTTGTAAGGCTGTAAGATATAAATCTATATTTATATCTATATATCTGTCATTTGTCAGACATTTGTATATTCTTCAATATTCTAGTGTGGGATTTTTTCAAAGTTGTTCTTGCAAAGAAATACTGTAGTTCATTAATGCTTTAAATTTTATTTTAGTTATCTTTCACTGGGTTATAAGTTTAAAATTATGGATTCTTCGAGTATTGTGCTAAATTGGGCAGCAGGCGAGAAATATCTGAAATAAACATGATTAATCATCTGATTTGAATATAATGTGGGTTAGATGAACCTCAATCAGTGTGCCATTGTGTTAAGTATGTTCATCTGCTGGTTTGGGGAAGATTTACTCTGATTTAATTTCTCACAATCTGAAATCAGTGAATTGATTGAATATTGGACAAGCTATGCTTGTCTGAGAGGGAGTTGCAATTCCAAACTCTTTGAAGACCAAGTATTACTTTTGTATGCAAGTTGTTTTGTTAGAAGAACTTTGCACCTCAGAAATAATGAGGAGCATTAATAAATAAATCAATAAATGATCTGAAAAGGATTACCTCCCTTGATTCAAATTGGGTCATTTATTAAGACAGGGATTCAACCAGGGGTGAAATCCAGCAGGTTCTGACAGGTTCTGGAGAACCAGTAGCGGAAATTTTGAATAGTTCGAAGAACCGGCAAATACCACCTCTGGTGGGGTGGGGTGAGGAGTAGGGTTGGAATGGGGATTTTGCAGTATCCTTCCCCTGGAGTGGGGTGGGAATGGAGATTTTGCAGTATCCTTCCCCTGCCATGCTCACCAAGCCACGCCTACAGAACCGGTAGTAAAAAAAATTGGATTTCACCACTGGAATTAAATATTAAATATAGGCCAGGAGAACAGTTGTCCGTGGTTTTTTGTTATTTCATTTTATTTTATTTTATTTTATTTGCCTTTTGTTGTTGTTGTCTTGAAGTTAAGACTGACATTGTCTGGACAAGTCCCTATAATTTTCCTGGCAAAATTTCAGAAGTAGTTTGCCCTTTCCTTCTTCCTAGGGCTGAGCGTAACTGCCCGAAGATCACCTAGCTGGGTTTATTTATAAAGAAGGACTAGAACTTACTGACTCCTGCTTTCTAGCCTTGTGTCTTAATTACTAGACCAAACTGGTTGCATATAGTTTTATTAGTGATATTTAACTTCGATGTTAATCAACTTTCATTTTTGTTATGGTCTTATTATAAATTTATTATAAATTTAATAAATAATAATAATATCTGTCCATAATGGGAGAATGGTCCTTGATTATCATTCAAAGGCAATGGGTAGCCTTCATCTCAGAAATTCATTCATTCAATCATTCAATCATTCATTCATTCATTCATTCATTCATTGTCTATCCATCGTCTGTCTGTCTGTCTGTCTCTCCTAACTTAAAAGATATGGAAGGGTTGAAAAGAAGGCAGGTAAACAGAAGCAAGCGAGGCAAAAATATAGAGGAAAGAGATTCTGGGTAATGAAATTAAACCCTAAATATATGTAATCCTAAAAAAAAATATCCAAGATATGCTATCTGTGATGACTTCCTTAAATCCATAAAGATTGAGCATTTATAGAAACCATATTTAGAATAGAATAGAATAACAGAGATGGAAGGGACATTGGAGGTCTTCTAGTCCAACCCCCTGCTTAAGCAGGAAACCCTACACCACTTCAGACAAATGGTTATCCAACATATTCTTAAAAACTTCCAGTCTTTGGAGCATTCACAACTTCTGCAGGCAAGTTGTTCCACTGATTAATTGTTCTAACTGTCAGGAAATTTCTCCTTAGTTCTAAGTTGCTTCTCTCCTTGATTAGTTTCCACCCATTGCTTCTTGTCCTGCCTTCAGATGCTTTGGAGAATAGCTTGACTCCCTCTTCTTTGTGGCAGCCTTTCAAATATTGGAACACTGCTATCATGTCTCCCCTAGTCCTTCTTTTCATTAGACTAGACATTCCCAATTCCTGCAACCGTTCTTCATATGTTTTAGCCTCCAGTTCCCTAATCATCATATTTATGTTACCTAACTGTTTTTGGAAGGATGGATATTTCTAAATCTAGGTGAGCGCGGGTGGCTTTCTCCCTACAAGAAAACAGAGAACTATATAAAAAGCATATGTATCCGGTGCATACAGCAATGATAAATTACACACAAGGCTGAAAAGTGGGAAAAAATAGAAAGAAAAGCAGTGGCCTCTTTTCTCCCCTGTTTTCTATTGGTGCTATTCATGCTAGCAAATTTGCCATAGAACTGTGAATATTTATTTAGCCTTCTTCATAATAGGGGTGTGTTTTTTTTTTTAAAAAAACAAACTAATGGGGAATTATTGGGGGACAATGAAAGACATTTGTAAATTAAATAGATAAGCCCGTTGGCACACAAGGGATGCTTTGTCCAAGACAAGAATTCTATTGTCCATCGCTTTCGGTTGTCAAGAGGCAGGGAGCGCAGGATTTATGAGAGTGAAACAATGATCCTTTCACAGTGCAGGCGAAGAAGCTGTGAGATTCTGTCCCTCTGCTTTTCAGCCTCTATAATCTTTTTTTTTTTTTTATCATGGAAGGACAATGTAGGATTTAACTGGTCCTTGGGTCTCAGGACTGTCCTTTTAAACACCAGGGACTGTGAAGTAATTAATATGGGGACAATAGATTTGCTTCTTTAAAAAAAGCTTCTTCTTTTTTTTTCTTTTTTTTCTTTTGGTACCTGAATTACCAGAGGTTTTAAGAATCACTACGCTTGCCACTTTGGATAAATGGTCTTCTTAAGACATGGCTTATTCACACAAGAATAAAAAGCTACAATCCTGTTTTGGAATTGGAGGAAAGACTGTTTTATTTGGCAGCGTTCAATCAAATGTTCTGGTTTTTTTTCCCCTTGGCTATCTGTTGCAACGGGACTTCTAATGCTGCAAACTTGAACCAGGACTAAGTTGTATGATTTAAAAAGAACTTATCTGATTAAAGAACATGAAAAAAAAAAAGAAAAAAAAAACCCAACGACGAATAGATATTGTGATATCTATTCAATAATGGAATATTTATTTGAAAATTAGAGGGACGTGGTGGCTCAGTGGCTAAGATGCTGAGCTTGTTGATCGAAAGGTCCGCAGTTCAGCTGTTCGAATCCCTAGTGCCGCGTAATGGGGTGAGCTCCCATTATTTGTCCCAGCTTCTGCCAACCTAGCAGTTCGAAAGCACGTAAAAAATGCAAGTAGAAAAATAGAGACTGCCTTTGGTGGGAAGGTAACAGCGTTCCGTGCACCTTTGATGTTGAGTCATGTTGGCCACATGACCACGGAGACCCTGGAACACGGCCCCCTAGAGTCGGGAACGACTAGCACATATGTGCAAGGGGAACCTTTACCTTATTTGAAAATTACAGTTATTAGTAAAAGTTATTAGTAAGAAAATTAGTAAGAAAAATGCTAAGTCTGAACCTAGTATTGTGTGTTGCTTCATGACATCTTGAGATATGCCCACTAGATGTGGGGTTTTTTTTGTTTTTTGTTTTTTTTTTGGTCCTCTCTTGACAAAATCCTTAGATAAAAATTCCCCAGACATTTCCCAGACAGCTTTTCTACAGTTCTTGAATGTTTGTAGATTTAAGTGTCACAAAGCATTTTCAGCTATATTTAATAGAGTGCTTTAAGTTGAAGCGAAGACGTTTTCAGAGATTTATTTTTTAGAAAAGGTCAGTATATACAGTAATGGTCCAAGGCAGAATTTGAAGCCACAATAAACCATGTCACAACAAAAGGAATAGTTGGAAATACTTCTGACTTTCCTAATTCTCTAGTTTGCTCTTGGAGCTGGGCAACAGGCTTCTTCAGGTTACATGTGGCAATGAATCAGTGGAAAAACTTGCCTCCAGAAGTTGTGGGTGCTCCAACACTGGAAGTTTTTAAGAAGAGATTGGATAACCATTTGTCTGAAGTGGTATAGGGATTCCTGCCTGAGTAGGGGGTTGGACTAGAAGACCTCCAAGGTTCCTTCAAACTCTGTTATTCTGTTAGTGATTCTGTTATTCAGCCTTCCATTTTTGTAGTTTTGTAGTCCTTAAAGTCTTTTGCAGACCAATGTTTCTCAACATAGGTTTGCAAAACAGTTCTCTGGCAACTTGAAGATGTATGGACTTCAACTCCCAGAATTCTGAGAGTTGAAGTATAAACATCTTCAAGTTGCCAAGGTTGAGAAACACTGCCTTAGAGATGAAACTGAGTGCCATTCCAGTAATAATGCCTATTTTGCCTTAATGTGTAGTTCAGCACCCAGAAATATTGAAGATGGGAATCCACCTAATGGACAGTTAACTCTCAGCAATAAGATTCTACTGCTGCTGTAGAATTTTTGTTTTCATGATGATGCTCCCAAGCAGGAGTGAAATCCAGCAGGTTCTGACAGATTCTGGAGAACCGGTAGTGGAAATTTTGAGTAGTTTGGAGAACTAGTAGCGGGAATTTTGAGTAGTTCGGAGAACCGGCAAATACCACCTCTGGCTGGCCCCAGAGTGGGGTGGGAATGGAGATTTTGCAATATCCTTCCCCCTGGAGTGGGGAGGGAATGGGGATTTTGCAGTATCCTTCTCCTGCCATGCCCACCAAGCCACGCCCACAGAACCAGTAGTAAAAAAAAATTGAATTTCACCCCTGCCCCCGAGCATATCTTTTATGAATGTACATTTCACATTGAAGGTAATGGGATACTGACCTGGTTTCTATTGCTTTAATTTTGGGAACATTTTGCCTGAAAATGTATTTGCATCTGTTATTACTTAAGTCTAATTTGGGCCCAAGATGCTGTTTCTTTTCTAAAGCACACAGAGGGAAGGAAGGATAATTAAAAGTTAATTTCTTCTTTTTGGCATCTCTGTTGTTACTCTGACTTACACCTTGACTTCTGTGTCCTCCCTTTTTCTTTTCCAGAAAGTCTTGGATGATTAAATACATATCTGTGCATAAACACAAACTTTACTGGAACTGTTAATTTGCTCAAATGGATGGAATATGGTACTTTAACTGGCAACAGGCTTCCAAAGGTTGAAGGTAAGATGCTGGATAACAAAAGCTTGCATTTTTCAATTTCTGTACAGCTATAAAAATACTAGAACATTCTAAACCTACTGCAGTTTTCTCCAAGCTGCTTTCCAGATTGGTTAGGTTATAATTGTGACATTGCCAGAATGCCTGATGCATTAAATGTTGGTCCTTTATATCCAGGGAGCAAGGAGACTGACAGCAATGTTTGCTTCTTAACTGCCAAAGAGAGAAGAAAAAACATAGCACTAAACAGTGCAAAGAGCAAGAAAGATTATTAGAAGACTAGAAGCTAAAGCGTATGATGAATGGTTGAGGGAACTGGATATGTCAAGTCTTAAGAGAAGGATTAGGGGTGGCATGATAGCAGTCTTCCAATATTTGAGAGGCTTCACAGACAGGAGAGGGAGGTCAACCTATTTTCCAATGCACCAGAAGACAGGACAAGAAATAACAGGTGGAAGATCATTAAAGAGGATCCAACTAAGGAGATATTTCCTGATAGTGAGAGCAATTAATCAATGGATCGGCTTGCCTCCAGAAGTTGTGGAGTTCTCTATCACTGGAAATTTTTAAGAAGAGACTGGAAAGCCATTTGTCTGGAATGGTATGCTTGAACAGGGGGATGATCTAGAAGACCTCCAAGATACCTTCCAACACTGTGTTATTCTGTATTATGTGAAAGGAGGCTAGCATGACTCGGGGGATGAAAGCTTCAAAGGGGGGGTTATATGAAGTCCCCAGATTGCCCAGCTCTCTCCTTCTGAATGCCTCTCTCTTTTTTTTCTTTAGCTCTTTCCATTTTTCCCCCTTTGGTTCTTTTACTGATTCTCCTTTGCCTCTATAATGGTATGTGGGCAAGACTTGGGAGATTGGGCCAAGAGATGTTGCCAAGGGAATGGTCAGATAAAAGACAGCGTAGCCTGCAGATGGATAGTGGATGGGATGAGAAGTTCAGAAGAGACTTTCCCCTAGTTCCCTGAGCTCTAAAAGAGATGGGGGACAGAAAAAAAATGTACTTTCAGACTTTAAAATTCTCTCAAAACATTAGTTTACAATAAAGTAGAATTAGCTTAGCTGGTGATGATTCCTGGTGAGGCTGGCATCAGTTTTTAGAATAGAATAGAATAGAATTTTTATTGGCCAAGTGTGATTGGACACACGAGGAATTTGTCTTGCTGCATATGCTCTCAGTGTATATAAATCATCAAGAATCGTAAGGTAATGATAGTCATAGATTACAAATAAGCAATCAGGAAACAATATCAATATAAATCGTAAGGATACCAGCAACAAGGTTACAGTCATACAGTCATAAGTGGAATGAGATAGGAACAATGAGAAGATTAATAGTAGTGCAGACTTAGTGAATAGTTTGACAGTGTAGCGGGAATTATTTGTTTAGCAGAGTGATGGTGTTCGGGAAAAAACTGTTCTTGTGTCTAGTTGTTCTGGTGTGCAGTGCTCTATAGCGTCGTTTTGAGGGTAGGAGTTGAAACAGTCTATGTCCAGGATGCGAGGGTCTTTAAATATTTTCACAGCCCTCTTTTTGACTCGTGCAGCATACAGGTCCTCAATGGAAGGCAGGATGATAGCAATTGCTTTTTCTGCAGTTCTAATTATCCTCTGAAGTCTGTGTCTGTCTTGTTGGGTTGCAGAACCAAACAGGATAGTTATAGAGGTGCAGATGACAGACTCAATAATTTTGAAGGTACGATTCTCCACACATCTCCTTTAGAGCTTGAGAAAGTGGGGTGGGTGGGTGGACAGTCTCTTCTGAGCCTCCCACCCACTGTCCAACCGTTGGACTATGCTATCTCTTATCTGACCATTTTCCATGGCACAGTCTCTTTTCCCAGTCTTCCCAGTCTTTCCAACACGAGCATATTTGCATTCAGGAAATCATGCTTGCCAAAAAAAACCCTCCTTAGATACCTTTAACATTATATTCTCATTTGAACTGAGATGCCTGTAGTAAGATTCATGCAACTCTGACATTATCATGCGGTATTTTAGCAGACTCATTTATATTGTTTCATAGTCAAGACGGTGATGTTCTGCTTGATAGCGGCTTCATTTCTGTTCAAAATGTCCTTGACTGTTCATAATCTCATTTCTGGCAGCTAAATGACAGGCTTTGTGAAATTTCTTAGGGAAGGATATAAAAAAAAAACCGGCCAGAAAGGCAAGTGTGTATGCCTTTCAATCAAGAGCTAAGGCAAACTGGAGCAATTAGAATCACAGGTCAATAAACCCCATTTGATAGTCAAACAGATAGACGTTTGTTTTAATGTGTGTTGAGTATCTACAGAGTTAAATAATCTCATATTAAGGACATCTGCAAAGTCACAAATGACTCAGTAGAGCATATTATTATGCACATTGCATAATTATTATGCACATTAGCACATTGCTAATAGGGAGCTATTGCTTCTAGCTATTAAAGTCCATAAACATTTTTTTTAAAAAAATCATGAACTTCATCATTTTTTTAAAAAAAGGATTTTTAAAAAATTATATCAGATCTTTCCATGATTGATTGATTGATTGATTGCACATTTCTGTTGTTGTGTACTGCTTAGAAGTACGAAGTATTGTGTGTGGTTTAATGACATTTCAAATAAGTACTTTCAGAGAAATCCATAAATTAAGGCTAGGACATCTGTAAAACAACTATGATGGATTTCCTATGTTTACACAGAAATGTGTCAGTAGTTAAAAGAATAAAGAAGATGAATAAATAAATGAAAATAAGCAGAACTGACACGAACCATGCTTTCCTTAATCCATATTATATCCTAAGGACCACTTAAAATATGCAGTGTTAAGCAGGAGCTAGGAGCTAGTGTGGGGTCTCTATATTACAAAGCATTTACTTTTTTAATTCATAAGTCTCAGGATTCTGATTTGCTTGAGTTCATTACTTGGAGCCTTAATACATATTCTTCTAAATCTTTTAGAATTGCAGAATCCTGAAGCAAAATAGAAATACTTTAAAGTGGATATAGTAGATTAAAATTATAATTTTTTTTAAAAAAATGTAACCGTGGAAGTAGCCTCCTAGTAAAACAAATCTGCCACAAACAAATTCAAAAGCAGCAATTGCAATGCCAAATATTTTAGAAAAACAGGTGTGATATGTATGAATATCTTCACCTTTGTAGAAAGAAATACAACATGAAGTACGAATCAGCACTGGGAATGTATGCTTGAAATTCTCTTGAAAAACAGTCTCTTTTGCAAAGGAAGAAAACTTTGGAGAAATAGCCAGTCAAATTAAGCATTTTCAAGCTCGCTCTCTCAATCATCTTTGATTTTGTTCTATAGTCTACTTGCCACCAAGTATTTTTTCTTCTTCTTCTTCTGCCTAGCTGAAGCAGAGAAAAGGCTAGCGGCAACGTAATGGTTGGCCCCTGGTGTGCACCTAAGGAGGGCTTTTATTTCTTTGGAAACTCTATAAAAGGGTTCTAGAGATACAATAAGGGAGTAGAAGGAAATAGAAATAATTTGCCAGGTTTTGTACCCCATCACTTCAAAACAGGAGATATAAATGCATTTTTTGTGTGTGTTTTCTTTCTCTCTTCAGTGGCCTTGGTTTGAGAATCTATTTTAGTCAGCAGGGGGAGATAATGGATGCACGATCCGCAGCCTTGAAAAGTCAATATGGTATTTGGCAAATAGAAAAATATTATCTAGTTTCTGTGGGCTGCCTGGACATCCATCATTATGGAGTGCATGGAGGGAAGATCCAAAAGTCATAGTAAATACATGTCTTTATTAGACCCCAGCAAAATGCCACATCAAAGTGAGTTTCCTGGAATGCTCTATTTTCATTAAAAAACAACAACAACAACAACACCTCTAGGGGAAGGAGAACACAAAGTAGGACAGGAATGCCATGGAGATTTTAGAGAGACTTGCTGAGTGAAATTGAAATCCCTACAGACTGTAGGCTCATGAAGCTGAGCCCAAAGTGGTGGAGTCATGATGACAGTTCTGTTAGCTTGTCAGTGATTGATTCACAACTCTTTGCCAATGGATGTCTCTCTCCCCCCTCTCTCCACCTCTTTCTCCCCATAGCTATCAACCTATCGAGCTATCTGATTATCTATCATCTATCTATCTATCTATCTATCTATCTATCTATCTATCTATCTATCTATCTATCTATCTATCTATCTCTCCATCCATTATCTATCATCTCTCTCTCCATCCATCATCCATCCATCCATCTATCTATCTATCTATCTATCTATCTATCTGTCTGTCTGTCTGTCTGTCTGTCTGTCTGTCTGTCTGTCTGTCATATCTCTCTCCATCCATCATCTATCTATCTATCTATCTATCTATCTATCTATCTATCTATCATATCTCTCTCCATCCACCATCTATCTATCTATCTGTCTGTCTGTCTGTCTGCCTGTCTGCCTATTATCTATCTGTCTGTCTGTCTGTCTGTCTGTCTGTCTGTCTGTCTGTCTGTCTGCCTATCTATCTATCTGTCTGTCTATCTATCTCTCCATCCATCTATCTATCATCTCTCCATCCATCATCTGTCTGTCTGTCTGTCTGTCTGTCTGTCTGCCTGTCTGCCTGTCTATCTGTCTGTCTGTCTGTCTGTCTGTCTGCCTGCCTGCCTGTCTGCCTATCTATCTATCTGTCTGTCTATCTATCTCTCCATCCATCTATCTATCATCTCTCCATCCATCATCTATCTATCTATCTATCATCTATCATCTATCATCTATCTATCTAACCTATCTATCTATCTATCTATCTATCTATCTATCTATCTATCTCATATGGCTATCTCATATTATGATTCATGGGATGCAAAAAATCTTCACTTGAAATATCTCATTGTTTGAGAAACCTCCTGTTTCTAGAATTTTAAAACAGAGATGCTGTTTTCATTCTGAAAAATTGTAGAGCAAGGAAGAAAAAGGAATTTGTCAGGCCTTCCTCCAGACACTGAACAGGTTCAAGCAGGAGTTAGTCCCCAGAAGTAT